AGTTCCCTCTTTACACTTTAAGTTTTCTGACTTAGGCATCGGAGAGGTATTCGGCACCCCCCCGCCGGCCAGCTCACGTTTGTGTTTTCAGGTGACAAAGCGACGTCGTACGGAGGAGCGTGGACTTGGTCAACAGGATTATACGAGGAGAATTATTTCCTCCCCGTACAAAAATAAAAAACATATTAGGCTCATGTATTTTAAAAATGTTTACAATTTACAATTTGTTAAATTTGTTAACTATTTACAATTTTTAGTAAAATTTAGTAAAATTTGTTAACTATTTACAATTTTTTTGAAAATGAAAATAAACCCCAAACAAGTTTCATTTCCAGTTTTTAAAATTTTTGTAAATATAAACTCAACTAAATTCAACTCAACAAAAACCTATTCTCATTAGCCGGAGTTGGCAACATGCATACTTTGTTTCCCATTCAATTTCATCCAAGGCCATAAGCAGCTGTTAGTACAAACTCAATCAACAATGCCAAGGATTGCTTTTATCTTCAATTTCTTAGTAAACATTACCCAAACATTCAAGAAATATTGGATTACGATGAAGTATATAATGCTAAAAAAATGAAGCAACGAATGAAACTTGTCCAAACACATTGTGAACAACTAGAAAACAGTAAGAACTTGAATGATTGAAACAACAATAAGAGAAACATGAAAGTTAAGTCTAAAAGTTCAGAATATCACCCGTACTTGTTTTTCCTGAAGTCTTTATCTATCTTTAGCTGTGAATTCTTTTCTTTTTCTCATTCTTTTCTTTTCTTTTCTTTTCTTCTTGTGATTCCTGGTAGGTGGTGGAATTCTTCAAGAACAAAATCCAAATCATTGGCTAGAACTGAAGAACTAACCTTTTCCAGGGCAAAGAATTCCACCGGCTGCAACCTCAGGTTCAAAAGCGACACCTTTTCCCGGCAAATGTTACTGGTTGATTAACCAGCAGCATCAATTACCGGTTTTCAATTTTGGGTAATCTCATCTCTCCCTGAATCTTTGATCGACTCTGACCGCATAATCTGTGGTGTATCAGTTTTAGCACCAGCTGGAGTTTGTTGAAGCTCGGGATTTCCACTCTTTAGCTCATCATGAGCCAACTCACTTGACTCGAGCCCAAAATATACAGCCCGGTGTTGAACTTGAGGCACCTGATCCATGTTTTCCTCACCATGACAAATATCAACACTCTGTTGAGATCCTATTTCTAGTACCACATTCACATCTTTCGTTCCCTCTCCATCAATGTTACGCCTTTCTAGCAGAGTTGAATCTTCAAGATCTTGCATTATCTCATCCTGTTTCGTAGATACATTCTCAAATCCAAACTTGGAATTTTGTTGTGGTATCAGTTGGTTGTCAAGTGCAGGCCCAGAATTTTGTTGTGGTGCGTCTTTTAACCCTCCCATGGAATCAGTCAGAGGTGTCATAACCGAGGCAGATTGGGTAGTGACTGCAAATTGGTTATCAAGTCCAAACTCGGAGTTGTGATTTGGCACATTTTTCGCTCCCAAGGAAGCGCACAAGTAATCAGTCATCGGTATCTTACCAAAGGCAGATTGGTTAACACTGGGAAATGAAGCAACTGGCTGCAACCAAGAGGCAGATTGGTTCTCGAGCCCAAACTCAGAAAGTTGTTGTGGCAAGTCTTTTCTTGGATCAATCTTTAGGAAGGTATTGGTCTGAGGGGTGGATTGTTTCTTGAGCCCAAACTCAGAATTCTGTCCTGACACAATTTTTTCTTTCATAAAAGGGTCCGACTCTTTTTTTGTCACAAAAGCAGCCTCTTTGTATGCAGGGGTAAGACTGCATACATTTGATTCTCCCCAAATCCCACAATAACTAGAGTCTCGTGCACTAGGACTATCCTTTTTATCTGTTAGAGGTATTGAATCAGGGGTCGATTGTTTCTCAAGCCCAAATTCAGAATTCTCCTTTGGTACTATTTTTCCTCCCATAAAAGCATCTGACTCATTTTTTGCCACATAAGTAGCCTCTTTGGATGCAGGGGTAAGGCTGGATACACCCAACCCTTCCCATACCCCGCAGTCGTGGGAGCCTCGTGCATTAGGACTAGCAAGTGTAGATGGGGAACCTGATTGGAGCTCGGAAGGTAAAACTAGGGCTGGAATGGTAGGTGCCCGGTTCTCTAACCGGACAGGGTGCTCATTGTTCCTTTCTGGTTGTGGGATAGAAGTAGAACCGTCAACCTGACTCTGCAAATTGAGGACCGGGATGGGAAATTCTCTTCTTTGGTACATCTTAGCTTGTGGAGCAACATCATTTGCAGCAGTAATGAGAGTGAATAGCCCCGGCTGAAACACCATGCCCCGGAGAAGAGTTCCCGTGTTGCCAGTCCGTACAGAAAGGAAATACCCGGCATCAAAAGAGCCCTCTATGACACCAGAAACCACCTGGCCGACCATGTCATTGTCTATATCATCACTCGGATCAAATTCAGTGTGTTGATTAGTTCTTACATCATCAGATGGAGCGGGTTGAGGTGATTCTGCTGGTTTCTCCTTGTGGACTAGGCTTTCATCCTTGCGTGGACGACCACGTTTACGCTTCAATGGAGGGTCTGCTGGCGTGGAAGTGCTTGCCTGCTTATTCTGTTGACTCATCTTGGACCAATTAATGCTTTTCTATAAAATTTTCTCTGCAAACAAACACTGCTCTTTGCCAATAAGACCAATAGGAAAAAACTAGTTATTGAAAAGCAATGATACTGTAGAAAGCAAGCAAAATCTAATGATAGGTTTTATATTTGAAGTCTGAATTCTGTTCAAGGAAGCAAATTATTGGCATAATGACAGACAATTTATTTGAAAAATTGTTTTCTAAAATTGTTTCTTAGCAAACTTTTCTCAAAAACAATTTTTTTTAGGAAGCGCTTTCAAGTTGTTTTCAAACTTTCTGAAAATTGTTTCGGACAAAGAAGAAAAGGAAATGGAAACAATGGTTTGTCTCCGAAATTTTAATTCATTTTTGTTTCCGAACGCACGAAAACTTGAAAATGATTGTTTTCATTTTATGTTTTCTATTATCGAAAACAGAAAAAACAAAGGAAAGTGAGGATAAAAATCAGTTTGACAAATAGTTTTTAGGAAAAAAAATTCCGAAATTTTTGAAGGAAACATTTTCAAGTTGTTTTCTAAATTTTCAAAAACTATTTTCACACAAAAAAGAAAAAGATATGGAAAACAATGGTTGTCTTTGAATTTTTCATTGCTTTTGTTTCCAAAAACATGAAAAACAGTTTGGTATTTGCAAATCATAGATTAAGAACTTTCAAAAATTTAATCTCGCTTTTAGTTTCTATCGTTTTCCTACAGATTCTCATCAACCAAACAACCTAGGGCCCTCATGGTAAAAACAAATACATGCCATGTATATACATTGTATGGATTACAATTGCAAACCCGTTTCTTAGTCTCCAATCACATCGAAACCCAGAAAAAAGAAACAATTTTTTGAGATTCTAGGAGATCAGTAATAGTAATCTTAAGCAATACATCACGATTATTACAAACGTATAAAGTATTGTAAAACAAAAAGATATGAAGAACTTACGTAGGAAAACAAAGACAGAGTAATAAAGGTATAATTAATGGGGAGATCAGAGAATCACTTGTTCCGTACAGTGATCAGCGAGATTGGTGGGATAAAAAAACCGTTTCTTTTTTGCTTCCCTTTGTTTGTGATTTTCCCGGAAAATGTCATCTGACATGAGGAAGGAATTGAAGAGTCTTTTAAATTGTTTTTATTTTTTTATTTTTTTTGGGTATTGTTTGGGGGAAGTTTTAAATTCCGCCAATATGCCTAGGTGGCCTTGATTTTGATCCGAAGTGTTATTGATTATTATTATTATTGCCTAGGTGGCCTTGATTTTGATCCGAAGTGTTATTGATTATTATTATTATTAAGTAAAGTGATTATGATTTGGGATGATGACGGGTGGGTGAGTTTGGGGCGGGTTTGTCATTTCCGCTCTTGTTTCCACGGATAAACCCTACCCTCGCTCTTGTTACCGGTGGAATTTTTCAACTCCATCTCCACCTCCACCTTCGTGGATACCCGATCATATTTCAAATAGTCAAAAAAATTGAGAATCATTTAAATTTGTAACACACTAAATAAATTTTATTGTTTTCATACATATATATATATATAAATCGTGAGACTTTTAGGATTATTATTTACTTATATTTAAACAAAATCACATTCTTTTAGTTTTCATTTCTTATATCTAATTATATTATAAATATACATACATACATATATATATATATATATTATCAATTATATCGGTTTGGGTTTGGATCGGGGGAGGCGATACACCCGTCCCATCCCCGTTGCGGGTGATCAAAATATAACTCACCCCGCCCCACGTAAGTGTTAAGTCAGGTAAAATCTGTTCCATTTGGGAGGATATGGGTGAGCCCACGGATTGAATTAAAATGACCATCCCTAATTACGATCCACAATTTTTGGAATCATTTTCATTTTATGTTTTTGAACATTAAAAACAATTTGCTTTGTGATTAGAATAAATAAATAAATTAGAGCGACGCAGGGATATAAAAATTCTACCAAATTACAATTTACTATTTTTAGTTTATAGAACATTAAACATATTTATGTTTATATTGGATAAAAAAGAAAATAAAAACAATATTTGGTATACAAGTATTTTTAATTTTTTTTTTTTAAAATGAGTGAAAAGAGAGGTTGTGAGAAGTGGTATCGATAGTTGGATATGGTGATTGGAGCTAGTTGTTAATTGCCGAAGGTGGTGGCTGTTGACCAGAGGTGGTTGGTGGTGGTCAGAGATAGTTGCTAATCACAAGAAGTGATGGCCAAAAATAGTTTTCGATGGTCAGAAATGGTAGTTAAAGGTGATTATTGCTAATGGAAGGTGGTTGGAGGTGATAAGAGAGGGTGGCCGAAGGTGGTTGACGGAGGAAGTCACCGATAATGGTGGCTGGTTATAGTGATGAGTAATTGGTGATAGCCCAAAATGGTGAGCAAAAGAGGAAAAAATGAAATTAAAATAAAAAAATTAAATTAAACAAGTGGAACCAACTTTTAAATTTTATAAATCGTTTTCAAGTTTTTAAAAATGAAAATAGAAATCAAATAAATTTTTATTTACTGTTTATCAATCCTTTTAAAATAAAAATATTACCAAACAAGCTCTTAAAGTTTTGATATTTTTATTTAGGTTAACTAATTACATTTTACCTCCTTAACTATTATTAAATATTACCTTATCATTCAATTGTTAAGATTGTTTCATTTTCACCCCTCATTAACAGGCCCTTCTGTTATTTATAATTTTTGATAATTTAGAGATGTAAGACCTTGTTTATTTTGAGTGATAGATGATGAGATCGAATTAGTAGTGAGGTAGAGTCACGAGAATGATGCTTGTTTGGACAAATGATCATGGGATTAGAAATATCCTTTAGTGAGAGAATTAGCAATTCCATGTGAAATGTAGTATTCAAATCCAATCATATGAAATTAGAGGTGAAATAATTATTTTATTCATCATTTCATAAAATAATTTAAAAACAAACAGGAAAGTAAAATTCAATAAGAATTAAGGGGTAAAGTATAATTAACCATTTTATTTATTTTCAAAATAACATTTTATTTCATTTTCACTCATTTATCAACCAACTACCGCTGGTCATCATTATCTGCCATCACTTTCGACCATCCTTACCATGAAATATCGTTTTTGGCCATTTACCATTACTAATCACCATTTTCGAGCATCTCTAACCATTGTTACTATTTTTATTATTATTATTATTTTTTATGATTTTAATTAAGAAGTGTCTTTCTGATTTTAGGATATCACCTTTTCAACTATCATTTTGAACAATACCTTTTATTTTTTTGCTATATATTTTAAAAATATTTTTTCTTTATTAAAAATACTTTTCCAAACTTTCTTCTCTCTCCTCCACCATTTAAGAAAAATGCGAGGGATGAAAAAAAAAGAATAATTTTTTAATTATAAAGAGTTATTAAAGTGTTCCTAAATGTAAGGGGTCAAAAGTTCACTCCCTTAAATAGGAAATTGAGTAGGAAGATTATTAGAGGGAATTATTTTGTATTTGATTCATTAAAGTACAAAAATAATGGGAATAGAGAGACTAATAGGTATGCTCCTTCCAACATTTTTAACAATTCATCAAACATTTATTCCACAATGGGAATAGAGAGACTATTTTTTCATTATTTAAATTTTGTGATTAATTTGTAAAATATATATTGGGTAAATTATAAATACCTCCCCTGAGAATTCTGACAAATACAGGGACTTCTCCTATGATTACAATAATTACAGAAACCTCTCACACTTTAACTTACAATATTAAGATTCCCCTAATCCATCAATTTTGAACAAAAAGACGAAAGTACCCTTTAATTCCTAAATCTCTCATACTTACCTCACCCTGCTTTGCCCCCCTCTTTCTCTCTCTTTCCTTCTCTATCTCTTTCTTCTCGCTTCCTCTCTTCTATCCATAATCTCTTCGGCCACCACAAATACAATTGCCTTTGGCAATCCCAAAGTCCACCGGCGATTATTCTCCTCAACCCCCTTCTTCTAATGGCAACCTCTTTTCTTCATTGCCTTCTATCCCCTGTTCTCCTCGTCGCCCTTGTTCATTTATCGCTATCGCTATCGCCAAGTCTGGAAAAATATAGAGGGAGGAGGTGAGAGGAATGAGGGTCATACTTCTTAAACAAATGTTATGCACTCTTGACTATAAGAAAACAAAACTTGAATCCATAGGTTCATTGTGTAGCCTCGTAATCTTCATTGGAAAGGAAATACACCTCTCTTCATGAATTACAAACCTACATCTACTCATGTTGTTGAAGATTGAAGCTTGATTTGTGCAATTTCTTTATGTTTTTTGGTTAGAGGTGCACATTCAAGCAAGATAGAAGCTTGATGTACTTCTGGGTATGATTAACAATATTGAAGCTCAATTTTGCAAGAATCAAGGGCTTGGGTATTTGAATCTGTGGATTGATCACTTCAATAACTATTTTTCTCAACTCTTTATTTTTTTTTTCCGTTGTCTTCATTGCTGCTATGATGGGTTGGTGAGTCTTGGATGATTTCTCGGTTGTTCTGTGTTGATCATTTGTCTTGTTCAGTTGTTCTTTTTTTCTTATCGTAGCTATTGATTTGCTTAAATTGGGTTTCTATTCTTTGTTGGAATTCCGAACAAGTTCCTATTTGAATTTTAATGTGTGTGTGTATATAAATATACATATATTTGTTAAACAAATTATTCCCATGTTAATACATTTGTATGTATATATTATGAATCAGGATCGTCTCATTGACTCCCTACTTGCTAGGCCATTGGGCTCACTTTTGGGCCTAATTTCGATGATCCAAACCGTTCACATTTTAAGATTTGTTGAGTACATCATACTTGTAAAAAATGAAGTTGATCGGATATTAGAAACTACGTGTTCGTATCATCGAACTAAAAACCATTTTTAAAAAAAATTTAATAAACAGTTTTCCGAATACATGCTTTCTGATATCCAATCAACTTGATTTTTACAGGTATGATATACTCAACAAATTTTAAAATGTGAATGATTTGGATCATCGGAATTGGGCCAAAAAATGGACCCAATGGCCCAACAAGTAAGAGCATCTCCAACGGTTCATTAGAAATTTCACCAAATTTGCACCAAATTTGAGTAAAAAAAAGACGAATTCCTCCATCTGATATCAGCCACTCCAATGGTGAATACTGTAGCTTTCATCAAACAACAGGATGTCCATGGGGACAACTGGCCGGTTGACTAGCAAGAGCAGAATGGTTTTTTTCCCCCCCTTTATTTCTGCAACAAAAGCTAAAGCAAAAGCAAAGCAAACTGTAACAAACCTAGATACATCCCTTGCAACAAACCGAAATTCGGCCAAT